GTAGCTGTATCCGAAAGAGCGAGAGAGGAGGGGGGGGGGGGAGAGAGAGAGAGAAAGAGAAGAAAACAGAGGCTCCTTGGTGTGGTTTTGCGGTCGCGAATAAATTATACGCGATGTCTCTCGATCCTCTCGGTCACGGATCTTCAGATTAATCTGGAGAATCGATCTTTTTTCTCCCCAGAAATTCGATCCACATTCATGCGCGTGACTTTGTTTCTTTTTTATTTTTCGAGTCAATCGGTAAGAGATTTGTATTTTTAGGGGAATTTTTTATTAATGTCAATTGCACTTGTGACACTAAATGCAGAATGAGATGTTTCTATTCATTTCACTGTCAAATAATCCAGAGAGAGAGAGAGAGAGAGAGAGAGAGAGAGAGAGAGAGAGAGAGTTTATTACGAAATAATACCATTATAATCAAGAATATAGCACCACATAGTGTATCAGAAATCAATGTTATCGTTGCTGAAATGTTGCTATAATATTTCAGCAAATTAAATTTTTTTACATGGGAATACAATGTTTTAGTGATTTTCTGTATTGGGCAGAGTAGCACGTTAATATTAACACTAAAACATTAGCTCAAGATGGGAAGGCAATTATATCTTGATAAATATATAAATGATATTGATTTAAGCACGAAACAACATTGAATTAATCATGAATAATAATGAAAAGTAATAACAAAGAACTTGTATTGTGACGTTTGAGTTTAAAAATTATTAGAGAACTTCCGGACAATAACGATAACATCGTTACCATCTTCTGCAACTTTAATTGAAGGCCTCTTGAATTTAATGTTGGTGTATTGTTTTTGTGTGCTATGTGTAAATAAGTTGGATAGAAGCAAAAAAAAGAAAAAAAATACAAGCACGTGAAACATCCACGGCGAACGTCGCTAAAAATTGCTCGTTTATGCGATATTTGTGTTTCAGGACCGATTTTATCATTATGGCCTAAATAGTACGCGCGAAGAGTTATGGCATGTCCCGTTGACGTGGACAACCGAAAATGAACAGCAATTTGGTAATACCTTGCCGAAGGCATGGATGGCCGAGAAACGCATGAAAATTAACGACACTGCCCTGAGCCGGGCGAGTTCCAGCGACCAGTGGATTCTGTTCAATATCAATCAAACGGGTAATATCACTATCGTAACATCCGCCGATCAATTAAGGAGATAATGCCCGAATATTTTTCTGCTGATCAATTTGTAAAGAAAATCGAAAGGCATTTTGTAATTTGGCGAGTGTTGTTTTACACACAAAGTGTGTTCCCGAAAAACAACCGTGATTCTGATTAATTGCGTAGCCGTGCAACAATTTTCGAATTACAATGTCATCCTGTCGAGACCAAAGGAGACCTTCGTCTCCTTCTAAACTCAAGCGAAATATCTTCTAATAGCGCGTCTTTCTCTTTCTCTCTGTCCCTCCGCAGCCTTGTATCGCGTCAACTATGACGTGGACAATTGGAAACTGCTGCTAAAGTCCTTCCGAACTCTGCCAGAAGTGACAAAGGTGCAGTTGCTGGCGGACTCGTTCGCGATAGCCAACGCCGGACTGCTCGACATGAGAATCACGTGGAGTATCCTCGAGAAGCTGGAAGCGGAAAGTGGAGAGATGCTCTGGACGCATGCGATATTCACCTTGGACACTGTCTACGATTACTTTTGGGACTCGAGCGTATTTAAGGTAACACTCAGAACGTCGATATATCGTGGTGGTGTCTCCGAAAGAGAAGGTGATCGCGGAGAGAGGATCCCAATGCGCGTGTTTCGCAAAATCGCCGCTGCGAAGATGTTCGTTTGCCGATCACTCTTCCCCCGAAGGAGAGAACCCGAGACAACGGTGGCGGTATCTCTCACGGGAGAAAGAGTGGCGACCTCGGAGCGACGCGAAGGGAAAAAGAGAGAAGTCCGTGCGCACGAGAATCGGCCCCTAAATTTCCGCGCGGCGTTCTCTCGCTGCGCGTCTTAGCTGCGGCGGTCCCGTCGAAATTCGCTCGTCCCACCTCGGTCGTAGATTTGCGCGAGATTGCGAGGCGAAGGCGAGCACATTTGATTTTATTATTAATTTATACGGCCGCGCGGCGCGATAAGATATGCGAGATATAAGCGGCGCCGCCTCGCGGTCTAAATCGTCCGCTATGCAGTTCTGCCTTATGTCGTTATTACGCGCAGTTAAGGCTTAAGTATGGCATTATAAAGCGTATGATTATCCCTGGGACAGATATATAAGCGATCATCGGCCCATCGGCCGTCGTTTACGATTCGACGTTCTCAATTAGGTCGGAGGACTCAATCATTATTTGCACCGAAATACGAGGCACGTAACATTTAATTAAGCACTCGCGCCGACCAATGTTGCCGTAACAGTTCCCTTTTCACAGAAGCCATTATTGCGAAAATATAAGAGAGGTAGTGGCCTGTGTGAGCGAAGCGAGCTCGAGCGGAGAGGCGGGCCCCACGGTTTCCTTCCCGGCCGCTCCGCCGCGTCCGTAAACCTAACGTGCCAAATTAAATAAATACGCCGCGGCGTATCTCCGCGTTTTAATCCACCCGGGTTTATTGCTCGTAAATTCTGAATAAATAGAATTACTCTCTTGCTCCTTGCGCGCGAATCAACCGCGGATCTCCATAATGTTGCGATAAATATCGCCGCCTGGTTATTTCGCCTACCTCCACTCGCAATTTCACCAGAGCACTTTGATGTTTTTGTAAAAGAAAGAAAAAAAAAAAGAAGGAAAAGGCGAAACTTGGAATCTCGAAGCCGAGGGAGGAGAGAAGGACGTTTAGCCCGATAGCGATAGCGGCGAGACTTTCCTCGCGTAGGTAAACGAGATCTCTCTCTCTCTCTCTCTCTCTCTCTCTCTCTCTCTCTCTCTCTCTCTCTCTCTCCCTCTCTCTCGCAATAAACAAAAGAATCAAGACAAGGTTCTCCAGGAGGTGCGCGCGTTCGAGACAACGTGAGCATTGATTCCTATCTAATTGCTCTCGCTAAGTGATTTAATAAGCAAATTTCCGTCGATCGGACTTTTCCGTTTAATTGACGCGCGCATTCACTTGCCGGGCGCAGATTTCCCAGCCAAACGCGCGAAAAACGAGATTCCACCGTCGTGATGCTCATCGACTACCACTTCTTCTTCTTCTTCTTCTTCTTCTTCTTCCAGTTCGTGATGTGCAAGGTCACCGATCAGGTGTACGCCGAGACGGCGCGGTCGCTGGTCCATACGGATCCCGCGTCGTGGACAGAATTCAAGGTGAACGTAATGAAATGGGCATGTTTGGTAGGCCATCGGGCATGCTTGACGGCGGCCCGCGACTTCGTTCAAAAAATGCTGCGAAACGAGTCGCTGAGCTCGTCGTACGTATTTAGCGCGCCCAGCATCTGTTCGCGCATTCGATACCAAATGCGGCCGCGCCGGACTTATGTCTATCTATTATCGACGGGCGCTTTAAACGTTAATTGGCAATCGGCGAGGCCTGGCGCGGCCCGCGTTTGGCGTTAAATGCGCGCGCTAGCTGGAAAACGGCACGTTTCCGCGTGCGGCTCGAAAATCAGCCGGCGAATTGTAGCGTTCCAGAGGAATTTCGCACCTGGACGTATTGCGCGTTCGTGAAAGCGCTCACGGAGGAACAATGGCTGGCACTTCTCGCGAGATACGACGAATCGACGGCGCACGATAAGGAGAGCCTCGCCTTCGCATTGGGATGTCACGTCAGCGCGAGGCTGCTGCGAAGGTGAGATAACCGCTCCGGTTCGGCTCGAAATTTCCCACGCCGAGATAGACGCGCGAAATATAGACGATTGTACGGACGTTACATGAAAGAAACGGCGGTCAGGCGGGCCGTCTCGCGAACGGGGACCCTCTCGGAGTCGTAAATTACTTTATTACATAATAAACGCTTCCAGATACCTGTCTACGATGTTTTCGCAAGGCAACATTACGTACTCACACGCGGAGAAGGCTCTGATGTCCGCCGTGATAAATCCGCACGGGTATCGCGTCGCGGCGGACTTTCTGACCGAACACTGGAACAAGTTCAGTGCGAACGAGGCGGAAGACAATGGCACATAGTGAGTCAATCAGATTTCGCAATTTGCGAGCGAGAACAACCCAAGTAGAAAGAGCCAGTTACCTCTTCCGTGTAACTGGCTCTTTCCCAGTGACTGACCGGGAATTCTTCCGGTAACTGGCTAGTTTCTGGCCAGTTAGGGCGACGCTCTTGTTTCGCCGGTAACTGCAAGTAAAACGATTTCTAGCCAGTTTCTGACTAAACTTGTTCTTGCGCAAAATTCTGTCAAACAGTTCTCATTGTTCGATTTTACATTGCAAAATCTTGTATTTTATTATTCAATATAAGAAAATGAAACGTCGTGCTTCAAGAGGTAGAGTCTTTTCACATGAAAAATCATTCATTACTGATGGTTGTAGCTTAATTTTTAATTACTTTTTCCTGTCTAGTTTCTGGGTCAGTGACTGACTAAGAAACATTCGCCTGTATTTTCCGAATTTCTACTGATAGAAAAACTGCCCAGCATTTATCTGCTATTTTTTATTGTCTTTCTGATCAGTATTTTCTTATCCAATTTCTGAACAGTTACTGTCTAACAAATCCTAGCCAATATAAAGTAGTTACCAGTTATTGCTAGTGACCAGTTTTTCCTGGACACTTTTCTACTTGGAAAGCTGAGTTCCCGTTGGGATTTTCACCATGGAAACTCATCGGGTTGCTCATTACTCTCCCGCGTGTTCTACATCGATTATTCCGGCACTCATCGTGCTTTCGTTGCTACACTTCCAGCGCGAACGTAATCCTGATCGATACATTGCGTGCCTTCGTGAGACGCATTCGTCAAGAAGAGGACGTGGAATGGGTAAGAAAATTGCGCGAGTGGCGAAACTTAACGAGGATCGAAAAGCGAACAATAGCGTTCCACGAAAACCGATATATGCATACTTATATACCTCGCGGCTACAAAGAAGCGTCGGATTATTATGTAATAATCTCCTTCTCTCTTTCTTTCTTTCTTTCTTTCTCAGCTACGACTGAGAGGCAGGCACGAGAAGTACGACACCGTGATCGGACAGGTTATTAATAGAGTCCAGGCCAATGTCGCGTGGTACAAGAAGCACAAAAACGAAGTAAGTCCGACTGCGCGGAAAGTGAAACGCGATCTTGCGTTTGACAGCGCAAATTACTTGCTTCTTTCCATTCCACTCACGCTGTTTTGTTAACTCTGACGACAACACCGAGCGCCTCTCGGATTCACCGGTGAAATTTTATTCAAATCAAGAACTTCCTCAAAGCGATGCATGAGAATCACGTTAGAACTAGATAGAACAAGATCAGCAATGATTACGACTTACGACGAGTGATTCGATAAATTTTTAATGAATATTTTGGTGATACACGTCCAATACACAAGATGTTACCGTCAGGGTTAATTAATTTGCCCACGAGGCACCCCGAGATCGATGCGACTTTCGTGTGTATTCTTCTACAGATATTGCGGGTACTGGAGGAGATTTCCGCGGGATACGCCGAGACGAAGGATTGCAGGAAAGAAGATTAACGGAGACGCGGCGTTAAAGGTCCGTGCTAATCGAACGCCGCACGCGAGACCGACGAGATAATCGTAATAATCGCGAGACGATTACTTAGCATGCGCGGACTTTAATGGCACGATGCTACAATTTTTCTCAGGACACAAAAAGTCAAATGCTTGGTAAATCTTGATGTAAATCACGCTATCATGAGCGCCACGTTGTCGATGAGAATGTACTTTTTACAGCATCATTGAATACACGATATTTTTCTAGAAAATTCCCTCCCCTCCTTTCAACCTTTTCCTAAAGAGAAAAGAAAAATCAAAAGAGGACAGGTGATATTGATGATAAGAACACATTAAAGCCTCCTACTGAATAATGGTCTCCGTGAGAATTTTTTCCTCCATGAGATGAATACACTTCGCATCGGTCTCTCCCCTGGTTGTCCCCGGTGTATCGACCTCGAGCCAGGGCCAACGATAGCCGACATATCCTGAGCCGAAGTATCGACGACTCGTCGATGCGACCGCTGCCATGGGATATTGGTCACGGTGTCGTGGCATCGCCGAGCATCCCTAGGCATATGGGGGAGCTGCGAGGAGGAGTTCTTGCCGCGAGAGAAGTGCCGCGAGAACGTCGGTCCCTAACCGGGCAATAACGAGCCGGGCTTTCGTGTGGTCGGAGAATGTTGCTAAGTAAGGGATTGATTCACGGGCAGTTATAATACCGCCAAACCGAAGGCCCTAATAGATTCAGGTCAATGCCACTACCGTTCTTCGAAGTCGTTCATTATGTGGGAAGAGCGAGCCCCGTTCTCATGCCACACAGGTCGCCCGGTAAGCTGTGTGTGCGGCGGGCTCCTCCGCAGCGGTGGTGGCGGCGGCGGTGGCAGCGGCAGCGGCGGCGGGAGGAACCACCGAAGAGGCCTAGATAGAAGAACCCACCGTGAGGAGGACTTCTATCCGCACGAATCCTTTTTCCTCCGCGTCCCGCGCGGGGCGATCCTCTTTTTCTTTGCACACGCGTCCGTCGGCACGACTGGACGATCGGCCAATTTCTCGAGTTACAGTTTCGCCGGTTCCGTGAATCTTTTTGTCGTTGTTACGTTAAATTCGAGTTGAATTCGATCTCGTCGAGCGAAGGGACGGACGGACGGACGGACGGCTCGCGGCTGTCTTGCGATTTTGTTGCTTCGCTTCGGGAAAACGGTGCCGCTGATAGTTACATATGCGCTGTTTTTTTGCCGATTAAGGTAATAAAAGGTTGTCGGAGTAAGTCGATTGGCAACTTTCTCACGCGCGAATGGTTATCCTTCGGGAGAGAGAACAACGTTTCACGTCGAGCTATGTGTGTGTTTTGACCGGCGCAGCCGCGCGCGCCCGTGTGACTGGCGGATTCAAATTCATTTTTGAAGAATGTTTCTAGCACAGGTCACGTAAGATGTCGGGCGCCGATCGAGAACGTGTGGATCGGTGTGTAAACCTAGGTTAGGTTAAACCACCGCTATTTTGGTTTACGCGAAATATAAAATTGCGGTGGAACACACGATTCCTATGTGGAAATCTGCAGTAGAGTCGAGAAGCTCATTTTAAAGTAAAACTGACATAAAGAAAAACTCTTAGGTTTGGTCTGTCCAAGAAAAGAAAACTGAAGAACCAAAGCTCAGTATCCGAACAGACGAACCCGGATTAACCTTCTGCAACACACTTTTTTGGTATAATCACATAACCTGTAAGTTACATCTAGTTACTCACTCGAAGTGTAAAGAGTGCCACATATCTGAATATTATAATAAATACTACGAATTGTTCATTCATTGGTGATTTAATTACTGGACAGGTCATCCTGCGCGTATGTTGCAACGAAACAATAAATGTTCAACGTGGGGTCTTTGTTGGGCCAATCGACGAGCGAGCTGGGTACGCGCACCCGAAACGGTTGGAAGATTAAAGGAGGAACCCTCTTTCCCTCGAAGAAAGAGGGGTCAAAGAGCGCTACCGTGTCCCCAAACGCGACAGACGTGCAAAAGGAAGAAAGGAAGGAATAGGAAGGAAGCTCTCTCTCTCTCTCTCTTTTACCTTCTCTCTCTGGCCGTCTCTCCGTCTCTCCCATCGCTCTCTCGGTTCGGCGAACGCGCTCCCTCGCGCGCGCGTGTGCTCCTTGCGCGCGCGAGCCAGGACCCTTCCTGAAGTTAATGATTCGGTCATTGCGATGGGTGGCGGTGGCGAGAGTGGTGGAAACACGAAGTGGTGTGGGCCCGGCGTAGAGTAGGAGAAGAGTGCGCCAGGAGGGCGAGAGAGCAGGAGAGGAGGATCGGTCTGCACAGGAAAGTAAGCCCGATCCCCAGTTCGAACGCTTCGGCTCGGTCTTACGGGTTTAGTCTTGAACAGCGGATTGTTGCCGTTGAGAGACGGTCTCGAGGTGAGGAGATCGGCAGCCAAAGGATTCAGATCACAAAGTCGCTATCAGCTGATAGGCGAACGGCCGCCATGCGCCATCAGCCGTGTCACCTCTAGGAAGGACGACCCACGCAACGTGACGACGACAACGACGACCACGAGGGTGGACTTGTCCTGCCGAGAGGTCCTCCAAAGAGATCATCCTTGGCGCGTGCCCGAGGCAGCAGGAGCCACGCCAGGGTTCACACGAATCTTCACACACGGGGTCCCGGAAGATCATCGGCCATCCGATGACGCCGCACGCCGGCAATCCGACGTCTGCTATAGCCAAGAAGGGAAAGCCACGGAGGCAGCAGTTACCATCGGCAGCCACCCTCAGAAGTACGTATGGAGATGTACACGGGGTTGATGTAGAGGGTTAAACCCGTGTCACAGTACGGATTGGAGACTGAGGATTGCGAATTGAAGATTAGATTTCGATAAATCAACGAACTTTAGTTCTAGCTCGCTTTGTTTCAGTTGGTCAAGTTCCAATTTTTCGCGATTCTCAGTCTTCAATCTGTAGCGGGACACAGGCTTTAGAAGACTCGCACACGACTCGTGTGCACACAGCGAATGCGCAGCGTAGCGTCAACGAGAAATCTAAGTAGAAACGTCAGTCGCTTTTTGTACGTCAATTAATTCACTATCTTGTTGCACGCGACGATGATTCCGGCTCGGATGTACTCATTATCGATTCGACCTGCGCCTTTGTTACGCTTGACTTTGCCGAGGAAGACTTACGCTCTTGCGCGAGACGGGACGTTTAAACCCTGCGCAGTCAACCTAGATGATTGACGTTTCTACCTGGCGCGTTCACTTTTGCAACTTGTATCGTATGTTTTCGACAAAGAACGGTGTCGTTGTACATACAACCAGAGCCCGCTGGGACATCTCGAATTCAAATAGTAAAATTGATATTCTTGAAATCGAGATCTCTCTTTCGAAAAATCGAAACATTTTATACGAATGATAAGCGGTGGAAAACGGAGGTCGTGTGGAAGTACATCGTTTAATTACGATGTGAAATATCCCAAAGAGACGACACGCCGCGAGAGAGAGAGAGAGAGAGAGAGATAAGTATTTCGCGCATTCGCGTGAAAAAGCTAAAGTGGATTGACAAGAACCACTTACGGGCTCGCCGAAGTACCGTTTTAACTTAAAGATTCCCGCCGGTGTGCCTTCGAGATGTATATTCCTTTATCGCAGAAAGTCTAAGATTAACGACGGCTCAAGTGGGATCGCTGTCTCATTACAAATCTGCCGCGAATTATTTATTAAAGCGGAAAGCAATTGTGTATGCTCTGCCGCGCGTACTCACAACAGACATTTGTCAAGGAGAAATTACAAAAATACCTTGTATTATAAATCCGACTTGCACCTCAGAGAAGGTGTAACTGCGTGAGCGTGAGGAACGAGGAGTTTCCATATCGCTGAGATCAGACCTCAGGAGTAAGCCTGGCTGGCCTTAATCCGTGGCATCACTCGCGCCGTTAGATAAGATCCCACAATCTTGCATTTTCCGCGATAACCCGATTGTTGCTGCTGCACAGTCGGGAACGTGCGCCAGCGCAACGTGGCAATTTAATTTACGGCGCTGCGATAAGATTGCACCGCGATCTGCATTCAAGGCGAATGGAGCTCGATATTACGTTAGCACGCGCGCTAAACGCGCGGCCAGCGCGGTGATAAATTGCCAATGATAAATTTTCTCTCATCCGACCACCCCCTCTCGCACAGAGTTGATCGCATTGTTCGAGGCGCTTCACGCTCGCAAAACACGAGAAGAATCGACCAAGTCGCGCGCTCTCCTCTCCAAAGGATAAGTGACACTTTTTCGTTGGGTGCGGGCATTGAAATCACCGATAAATCAGGATCGTAGCCACAAAAGGGCGAAAGGTATCGTCCTCTATGATGGTATATTTATGTCGCTTTCCTTTTTCAATTGAATTTGGCACAATTATAAACATAAAATTTTCGTTACTTTATATTCTAGTAATAATAATAATAATAATAATATATATATATAAAGTAAACCAGTATAAGTAAGGAAAAGTTGTCAAAGCACCACCAGTTGTAAGTACAACATTTCAGTGAAGAATGCACTGATTGTTTAGAGAATAATGCTGATTTAATTGAGAAAGATGTCATTAACAATCAAGCCAAATCGTCGGATGAACATTTCATCCTCTCGTGCTACCTCGCCTCTCATTAGCGATACATGGAGAGATCGCAGCCTGCGACTTACCGTCCGCTTTCTTGCATTCGCGGATCGCACGTATCGACTTGCGACCGTCGCCGCTGACGTCGTCCGTGCATTCTCCGCTCTGCTCGCGATTCGCATCTCCGTCATATCATTCCGGTCTCCGCATTTACGTGAACAGCGAAAAAGCGGACGCGATTGCCTACCTTCTTCGTCGACGATCGAGAGGCCCAATTGGAATTCCGAGTAGGCGCGTGGGATCGGCACAGGTAGCGGCGCGGCGTGTCCCGCGATCGCGATCGAGCGAACGAGCGAGCGAGTCAGCAAATGAACGAACGAATGGACGAGCGTGCCATCGAGTGTGCATGAATCGTACTTTTGCTAAAACGGAGAAACAATCTCCACGAGCGGCTCCACGTTCTCCCCGGCGCGCCGCGAGCAAAAAGAACGAATTCCTAAGACGAGTTAAATGGCGCTCCGAGCTAACCCAGCGGGTAGTGCGCTAACGACATACATACGTATCACGCTTCCTCGCAACTATCGTCATGGGAGGTAACGCCGAGAGAAAACGGAAACGCAATGAGAGAAAGAGTTCGGCTAATTTACCAGTAGCCGCGACAAATGGTTTGCTCATGTGGGACAGCGAATGTTGCGAGAATGACTTGTTACTTTCAGTCTGCTGTTCTAAGCAACGCCTCTCTAACGGAGACATAACTAGCCTGAGCCAAATAGACGAGAACAAGTGTCTCGGGCGATGTATGTTTGTTAAAATGATTTGCAACGGTAACTGTTCGATTCGTTTCCCTAACGATCATCAAAGAACGAACGTTTTGAAAAACGTGGGATTCTTCTCAGTGCGTACGAGGCACACGCGGGAGTGCGAGAAGTATCGTTGATGAACAAATTGCCGAATCAGTGCATCGAGTATTACTGAGGTAAGGGGTAAAGATCTGGGAATTTGTTTGATCGTTGTGTCACTTCACGTAGGCGAGATTGCGTGTCGCCATAGAGTAGGATGTTACGCGTCACACTTTGGACGTGCGACTCGAAACACCTGGCACGTGAGGCTACGCGTTCGCGCATTATGAAATAAACGAGGAGAAAAATGTGATCGTCCACCTGGAGAGATGCTGGACGCGGTGAAGTTAATAATATGATGTCACTTTTCGCGCAGAGTGGTGGCCGTGGTGGTTGCTGCTACCAGGATGTTTGGCGTCGTGGACGCGATACGTCGAGGAGTACGACTCCATTCGAGTGGCCAGGTGCGACGCCCGATGCGGGGAGAGCCATCCTGACGAGGTACGTAGGATGAGGACACGTTGTACCAGCGAGATTGTGTTATCTTGCTGCATCTTTACGTTGTCTTCTCTCAGCTTGCTTACGTACTCGTAACATCATCGCTAACAGCATGATATTTTTTTTATACGCGATATATATATTTCTCTCAAATGTCACGACAATTTTCTATCGCTATACTCTATCTAGTATGCTGTTACACAGAAAATATCATGGTTTGCTCTTGTGTAACTATAAGCGCTACAACCGTAAGTATCTTTCATGAGACGGACGGTTGTGGCGTTTGTTTGATTTTCACAAATCTATCGAGGGGTTTCCCCTTCTGAAACACAAAGTGCTCGCTCCATCTTTGCGACGTGGAGTTTTTAGCCGACTTCACAAAAGTTAGGTTCTCAGTTTGTCCTGTAAGGTAAAAGAATTAATTCTCGAATTAATTCTCTCCCACGACGCATCTAATTCTGGGTATTTTTATTGTTTTGTTCCTTAGAAATATGATTATTTAAATGTTTAATATAAAAAAATATATATATGTAATGTAATTTGTTTTCGTATTTCATTATGTTTTTATATATGCTTTATTTTAAATTTATATTATATATATATATATATATAAAATATAAATTTAAAATATTTAACATATAACATATGTCTTATGTTGAAAGGTATTCATATTTAAAGATTAAAACAAGAATGTCCAAGATTATATGCGCGTTGGGATATTGGTATTTTTGCCTCATGTGTTTGTATGTTTGTGTTCCTTCACAACTCGAGAACTGTTAAAGATATTGAGATGAAACGTGTTATAACTCAGTATACTACTAGTAACTTCAGTATATTATTCACTCTCTTGGATTAGTGTCATTACACGGATTTGTAATCTGGGTAATCTAGAAATTGGGTAATTCTATTACTTCCACAAAAATTCGAGAACATCTAAAGATACAAGACAAAACTTTTATTTTTAGCTGACTTGAAAAAAACAAACCGTTTCTATTTCCACATGAATTGATCGACACGACGCGCGGAGCGTATCTCGGTGTTTCGAACTTACACACAGGCGCTTACTCCCCGCCTCCGAATACATACACAATATAAAAGTATAAAAAGCGTTATTTAATAGGCATCGCGTAGAGGAACATGGCAGGAGCTGAGCCGAGAGCCCGGAGGGATTAACGTCAGGGTAGAATATTCGCGTCGCACAAACAGCCATTATTCCCGACATAAGTTTGATCGTTCTTGGCGCTTGTGGCATCGACCCGCGCGCGTCGCAATCAGCCGGAATAATCGGCTCGATTAATCAGCGTGCTACATTGTACCGGGGCCCGAGTGGAGATCGATTTTAATTTCGATGGCCGATTCGACACTCGATAGCATCGCTAAATAAACTGGTTCCCGCAACGCTTTGTCGCCGAGAATCCGCAGAGAGAGAGAGAGAGAGAGAGAGAAAGAGAGAGAGAGAGAGAGAGAGAGGGGGGAGGGGAAGGAGACAGAGAGTCGTAGACGCGCGCTCGCACGCGATGATTCATCCGGGCTTGTCCGGGTTTTGCGGGTTCTCGCTCGCGTATAATTAGTTATGCGAATCCGAGCGTCCCTGAGTCCGCGCCCACTTGAATCATCGTCACGCTCGACGATTTATGGGGTACACCGTGCCACGGCACGGTGGAGTTGACTCGGACGATACTAATTCGGCGATCAGCCACGGCGGACCGATAACCGTATTTGGGTCGTCCGGCCGGAAGATCTGCCCTTTCAAAAACGGCCGAGTTTTGCGACCAAGTGAGGAAACTCTCCGCTGATCGTTGCAAGGTTCTGGCTTTCCAAGCAATTTAGGTGGTTTGAAAGAGGATGTTGGAACTCTTATGGCCGACCACCCTGCACCGTACACGGTCAAAAGGTGCGTTTTGGTATTTCAGGCTTTCGCACGTGTTATCTAATACTTTGTTTGTTTTTCGAGTTTGGACCGTCTTTTCTTTTTGCTTAGTTCCGACATCTCATGAACGTTTCAGTTCATGGAGCAGGGAGCTTCTTCAGGGAGCAGGGCGATCTGAAACTGTTTTGAAAGAAACCTGAACTGAAAAAGTCACCTTATATCTCAAGACTGCAATGCTTTTCAACGATGATTGCAACTTTTCGTGTGCTCAATGAGTACTAATCGCGCTAGGTTTTACCTATATACGCCTCAAGGACCATTTCGGGCACCCTCCTTTAGAAGTCAAAACTTGAATCGTTTAGATCTTCCTGGACTGAAGCGAATCTTCCGTGCTCACCATAGTGGTGAGTCGCGACACTGTCATATTGCCGCGCGATTTTTGCGTATCGTGAATGAAAATACAAGCGTGTCCACGATACGCGCGGATAACGCAACGCGGATGATGAGGGGAGGGAGGGGTAAGGGTGAAACATTTTAATTGGTGTCGGCGGGACGATAACGTCACGACGAATACGAGCAACGACACCCATTGACTTACCAGTAACTTACCGGCAAGCCCGCCGCAGCCGGCGCTTTATTGCTGATATTTTTCGCCGGTGTATACAAACGTCATTACGGCAAACGGCCCCGAAATGATTCCGGGGGGCCGTCGATGGGGCGAGGACGGGGGAGGACGAGAAGGAGAAATGACGAAGAGATAGCCCCCGAGCTCTGACTGGCGGCCGGCAATAAAGTCCCGAAGTAATGGCCTATAAAAGGGTTGCGCGGCAACACACTAAGTCCGGATGCGCGCCTATGGCGCACTAGAAACGTATCTTCCGACATTATCGAAAACAGGTTCTTATCCCGAAGCACCGACGATCAATCTTCCCGCGTGGCATTCGACTTGCAACGCGCGGCTCTCTCGCGCCGCTCCTCGGGAACTTCGGCGGCGGCGAACTTCGCTCCTGACTTCGCTCTCGAAGGTGCCTTTTAGCGCGGCGAAATTAATTCTCCCTCTTTTTTCTCTCTCTTTTCTTCCTGGCGTTTTCCGCCGCCGGCGGTGCGATGGAAGCCGCCAACCGATTCTTCGACGGATCGCGTTTGATTGACAAGAAGAAGGAGAAGAAGAAGAGGAAGAAGCGGGTCGTGACACGCGACTCGACGATAATTCGCGTCGATCTCCTGCGCGGATGAATCGTGCAATTTGCAAAGTAATTGCAGCGAAATTCGATCGCGAAAGGATCTTCGCGCGATGCAAGTTTTAATTTATAATAAGACTCCTCTCTTTCTCTCTCTCTCTCTCTCTCTCTCTCTCTCTCTCTCTCTGCGTTTCACCGTTACCGCATTCCCGCGCAATGTAATAAGACAAGTCACACGTCGCGCGACTTCACCTCGCCAGAAGAGAAACGCAAGCGAATCCTGGTGAACAAACGAATGACGCTTTCACTCATTCGGCAATATTATCGCGCGCGTCTCACCTAGCGATTAGCGCGTAAAACGCGAAGCGTATCGTCATTCCAGTCGGAAGCCAATTTTTTACACGTGCCCCGGAATTTATCGCGTCGTATTTTCATCTTGGCACGCGCGCGTGACCCGTTACGTAACCTCCTGCATTCTTTTAACAGCGCCTGCTGCTACTATATTTGACTGACGTAATCGCGCATCCGCGGAACTTCGTCGGGAATGTCTAATCGACGAACGTTAAATCCGTGGTATTAATAACGCGCTGCTTTTTCCGATGTCGCCCGTGAATCGCTTAGCTAATAATAGAAAACATTACGAGAGGGGAAAGGAGAGAAAGAGAGAGAGAGAGAACTAAATACGAGAACTTGATACGGTAAGGTAAGATGGTCACGTTGCAGTATATTTATATTTTAATTATTATAAAACAAATCACATGATTAACAAAATCATGGCAAACATTAAAACATAGAAGAAGACTGTCTCTCTCATATTTGTGCAGACACAACAATTAATTGTCTGAGAATTTGTAACTTCAAAATTCTGAAATATCTAATTCTGCGAATATCGCGCGATCCTCGATCTCCTCTAATTTTATTCTGAATTTTAACTATTATTTATGAGAAAGAGAGAGAGGGGGAGAAAGAGGATGAAACAATTAGCACTTATACCGCGACTTCGTTAATGAACGTCGTTAGCGTAATCCTCAAAGCGGAATTCCGCTGGCAACTTCGTTCACTTCTGTTATAAAGATATAGAAATACCAGCGAAGAGGCACACAGAGATCGAAGTGGGAAGAGGAGAGAGATTTCGCGGTCACCGTTATTACAATTAACTTCGTTAGCGTTAATCGCGAAACTCCATTTTGGAAGTAACGTTTAATGATCGAGCATGCGGATTCCTCGATATCAAAGCGGCTGCTGCAGCGGCGGCGTCCTTTCGCATGTCGACGCAAAAAGGATAAACCCCCGCCGTTACAACAATCGACTTCGTTAGCGCGATCGTTATATCGCGGGGAACTCTCTTCGCCAGGAACTCTACATCGTTCGCGATCCCCCGAACGCGAGTTCCACGGTATCGATCACGCACGGCGCCCTTTCGATTGTTAATTATCGGTGCCGTCGCGCTCGCGCGCGCAGGGGGAGGGGGAAGAATAAGTGAGAAGAAGAGGTGAAGTGCATGGTGGAGGGTGGAGGGAGGAGGAGGACGAGGACGAGGACGAGGACGAGGAGGAGAAGAAGGAGGAGGAGGAGGAGGAGGAGGAGAAGGAGGAGGACGAAGACGACGAGGAGGAGGAGGAGGAGAAGGAGGAAGAAGAAGCGGAGGAGAAGAAAACGACGCTGCTGAATCGCCAATGGGCAATATAATTTTCTTAACGACGGCGATCGGCCGGCCAATTCTCGCGATGAACTTCGATCGAAGGCCGCCTCGACCATACCGATCTTAATGAATACTTCAAACCGCGATCTTCACCAAGTCTTTAATTGGGGTAGCCCACCGATGCGAGAGAGATCGAGAGGGTGAGGTAGAGCGCTACGGCGAGGGGTTGAGGGAGGGGGCCGCGGGGGAGGCGGGGGAAGAAGGAGCAACGATCGGCGCGCATGATTTTTCAGTATTGCCGATCGACACT